ACCGTCTAATGGCTCAAAGGTGCAAGTAGAAAAACATGAATTCAGAAGTTAACTGTTAACCAGGACCAAACGATAGTCTCACCTGGATCAGAGCCCTGTTTCTGATCTGACTGTACAGTGTTTTGATGTGTGGTGCAAGGTACATGTCCAACAGCAGATTATCCTGCGGAAACAGAATTATCATATTTCTCTCCTCCATATGCTCAAAACACAGAACTAGAATAAGCTTTGAATTTTTCTCATGGCACACGTTAAATCAAACAAATTAACATGTCAGAGTGTCTTTCAATGCATGCGCGTCTCTGTCATGTAGCTGAGTGCTGCATATAATAGGATTTAGAGCGGAGTTTTAGTGAGGAAATACTATCAGATGGCTTCGACAAACCATCCAGCCAGCCTGCCTTGGTAATGCAGGGAAAACTGTGTGCATTTTTTGTTATTTAATACATTTGAAAGCTATTTCTACCTTTGGATTTCCTCCTTGCATTTTTGGAGTAGAACACTAACATGTATTATAAAGACAAAAATCACAAGTTGCTTCATAAGCATATGAAAAAAATTGACACAAATGTAATAATGCAAGAAAATATTAATAGCTTTAACTATTTTTATTGTATGAGATAGTAAATATTAATGTGAATGATTTGTTGTACTAGATTAGAATCTAGACCATCTTTTAACTTCATATACAGGATGGCTTGGCAGGCTAGCTTGTACCTTTGAAGAAAACCGTGAATTAAACTGAAATTGCAATTTCTGCTAGAAAAATCGCAATTCAATCTTTCCCTAAAATTGTTCAGCCCTATATAACAATGCCCATATGTGCATTGTTGTGTTCTAACCTTCATTTCATCCAACAGCTTGAGGCAGGAAGCATACTTGGACTCATAGAACTTGAAGATGATGTCACGGATCTGTGGTTCTAACTCCAGAAATAATTTGAAGGAGCTGAAAACCAAACAGGGCATCAGGAGAGTTACTTTAACAGAGGGAGAAAACATATTAATCCTGTGGTGCCAACTAGCGCATACTACCTGCTAGAGATAACGTTACGCTGGAGCTCCTGTCGGTCGAATGTGGCCAAAGCACACAAGCCCCCGTACACAGCCACGTTACTGGGCGACAACAGCTGCAACAACAATTTGTTTAAAATGTTCAAGCTTCACAATAATGGCTTTAACGTCAATTCAGCATGATAAAAACACGTTCTCATCCAGTAAACTCTTATTTTAAAACCGGTAAAACGATTTGTTCCATCACTGGGGTGTAGGGCTGGGCGATATGGACAAAAACTTGTATCTAGATATATATACAACATATATCTTGATATTTTTCCTCCTGTAAAATATTTACAAGTTCACTCACTTCAAGGTGTCTTGAGAAATTATATACATACATCAACAGATTAAATGCATAAAAATGTAGATTGCTGTCAAACTTTAACCTTAGTGCCTATTCTCTACCAGTCTGCGCTTAAGAAACACTGGTACACACACACACACACACACACACACACACACACACACACACACACACACACACACACACACACACACACACAGTTGAGAGTTAGAGGTGTATCAAATGTCCCACCGGCACTTTTTATTTATATATTTATAATTAATGTAAAATTATTTAAATTTCATCTAGAGGTGGCCATATCGTTTATTTCTTGTCCAGAGAAAAAAAAATCTATCATGTTAAACTAAATGTATGATGATGTAATTGCATCTACTGAAGGTCACATGACCCATGCGCCGTGGAGTTACTAGTTATCAGGGCAAACATGGCTGAAGTCTAACAGTATTGGCTCATATCAGCGATTATACTGTAATGACTCAGTCTCTGGTTGCTCTTTTATGAGTTTTATTTTTGGGCTACTGTCGCCGTAACCCACACCTTACAAACTCTTAACTTTTTCAACAGAATCGCCTGTAATGGATTAAGGTTGGTTTATGCTTGACGCGTCCGCGAGGTCCGCACGGCTCCGCGCGGAAAAGTTGCATCATTTTGCGTCATTTTAACAACCACACCATTCAACCGCGCCTCCGCACGGCCCAGAATTTCCACAACGCGCACCTCGGAAAATTTCTAACCACGCGGATGGATGGACGCGGAAAAACACGGCGGACCGGCAAGAACTAGTATGGCAGATGTTCGTAAATACAGACATTTGTATTATTCAGCTCGCAGAGATCACCGTGATCAACATGCTGTTAATAATTCTTGGAGAGAAATAGCTCGCACTGTCGGAAAAGACGAGAACGCTGTTAAATTGCCATGTTGTAAACAGTCATTTTTACTTCTAATATGGTGTAGTGTTGGATGCATGCCGTAGAGCTCCATGCTGCCCCGTTCAGTTTGGGAGAATATTGGCTCACCGCAGAGACGAGCCGCACAAACCATAAAGGCTGCAAGTTGTGAAGCGCGTTCCAGCCGCGAGCCGCATCACCGCGCGGAAAGTGAATGCGTCATGCATAAACCAAGCTTTATTTACTAGCATAGCAAACCAGAGCGGAAAAAAACGGAACCTGAACAACATTTCTCACCCGTTGAATGCCTTCAAAATAAAACGTTAACCCTATAGTTTACTATTCAAACCCTTACAATATGTTTGAGGTGATTTGGCCACTCTGGCTATCTGCACAAGTAGGATGGATAAACAGAACTCCGTTGGCGTTGAACGTCCCCAAATAATGAAAAACCAGGACGCCAAATGCGAAGTTTAGAGTAGCACATTTACCCAGAGGCTCTCAGATTGAGCAAACTTGTGAGAATACAAGTAATAACCGCTTAGAGACGGAGCAACATGTCACTAGAATAGAGGCTAACCGCTAGCATGGCGGTTTGACCAGTTATATAGATTTAAAGATATAAAGTCATCTTGTATATTGTTTAAAATTTATATAGATATTTTAAAAATATCTATATTTCGCCCAGCCCTACTGGGGTGTAACCTTAAACACAGGATTTCCTGGTTACAGGTCATGAGGCTGACCCAAGAGCATACAGCAACAAGACCACCAAAGCCTCTCTGGAGCAAAGCTCATTTAAAGGCAACACTAAGCTGAGGGCTGCATAGCATTACAGATGAAAGACACTTCCTTTCAAAATAAAATTTGTGCAGATGTGTCATCAAGTCTTAAAGGGATACTAGGCAATTTTGCTTGCTTTTAGCACCCCCTAATATCAGTTTGTAGAACCAAAACCCAAACCCATCTCCTCGCTGTGCGTTTGTCATTTTAACACCTTAATCTAACAGGTGAAATTCCATCATTCTTAAGTGTGTAGAGGAGTGATTCATCACTAAACAAATCACAAGTGTTCCAGATCAAAAACATTCAGAAAATGTGCTGAAGCCAGACAGCAGCACCACGTAGGTCAGCTAAATTTTTTTGTGTGTCCCAGCTGACTGGACAAGCAATTGTGATGTTGCAAGTGGAATATTCTGGCCACACGGGGCGATAGGGGCTGGGCGGCCGTTCATTGACCCTGTAAAGGGTCATTTTAGCACATACTGGCTTAGCAGAAATCGGCAGGATGCTAGTCTTATTTCCAATAAAGTTAAATGAGAAAAGATCTTCATGAAAAAAAAATAACGATAAAAAAAACATCTTATACTTGAAGACCAACTAGTAACATTTGTGTGTGTGTGGAGTAAGTTACTGGAGGGAAGAACTAATGCATAATTGTATTTTTCATGATAATAATATGTTTGGTAAAGAGGATGCACAAATATCCTCTGACTGTACACGAATAGAAGGAGACACACTCTTTTATAGTTTAGAGATAGTTATTTAAAGAGTAACTAAACCCCAAAATAACTTATTTTTGCCAATTAACTGTATAATAGGGTCTTTACAAATGCAATCTTTCTGTTTCTGTGCATTTTTGACATGTTTGTGTAAACTTGATTAAATCTAGAATCTAGGTCTAAAAACGTCAAAGTGCTGCCCCCTGTGGCAGAACAGCAGCTACTGCATTTTAAACTTGTGAGTGACTGGGGATGGTACAATTTCATGTCATCGATGCAGTCTCCTCCCACTCGCCCTCCCTCCCAGGATGGAAATTCCCACACTTGGCCATGCCACTCTGTGCCTCCTGGCAACGCCCACTTTCATAGCATTTTTCAAATCTTGACTAGGGGTGGAGTTACATTTTTTGATTGTGTGCAGTCCCTCTTTAATAACAGTAATCACTGGCATTGAGAATGGGTTAGGGCTTTAGGCTACATAAACACCAGATCGGTCTCTGATCCTTCGGAGTGAAACACTAACGTTAGGTTATGTATATAACCACTGTTCCCTGAGGGAGAGGAACATGGTACAATGAAGGTACAATGGGACATCACACCCTCGTGTGGCCTGGCTGAAGAAACATTTAATGACACCTTTAAAGTAGGGGTGGGACTTTAATGCATTAATTATGATTAATTAATTAGAAAAACATTACTCGTAAAACAAAAAATTCACACATTTAATCACAGCCTGAATTTTAAGCAAGGGGGAACCTTTGTCATTGCACAATTTCCTCGTAGACCAAATATCACTGACGCACATAAGTGATTGCTCTGCTAACGGGTACTAAAATGGAATAAAAACGGAAAGGAATAGCCTATTTAGGAATTGCGTCAGTCTCTTCTCTTAAAAAGCCCCGTGTGAGAAGTCCGTTGAAGTCATGATGAAAAAATGTGACTCTTTAGCGCCGTGCAGTTCAGAGAAAGTATTGCAGCTACGGTGGCTCACTCATAAGTTTGACTGTATAATGGATTTCCAACCTGTGTAGCCTAACCCACACAAAGCTTAAAACAAGCTACTTGACCTCTTTAGAAAAACATTTATAATTATGACTGGTTATCAACCTACCAGTTCTGAAGGAAGCAAGCTAGTTCTGCTATTGAAGCGATAACCATTCACACACGGAGGAGGGGTGACGTCAGCTGGGAGGTCAGGTGTTGTGAGAAATTGTGTTCCCCTGAAATATTTTGTGCCCCCGTGTCGGGAAATCGCACTTCAGGCTATTTTCACAACATTTGTGATCAACCTTTACGGTAAAATGATGTAATGTAATAATGTTATGCTTGTGATGTTTTATCTGTATTTCCTCCTAAAACATCATGGGAGTTTAAGTCTTTGCGGTAAAATCGGCCAGCGGGCCAGTTTTAATATATTTTTGATATTTATCTTGCGGGCCACATAAAAATGCTCTGCGGGCCGCACCTGGCCCGCGGGCCTCGAGTCTGACATATGTGTCCAGACCAATATCACTACTCAATAATGATTTAAAATTTATGTGTAAAGCTTTGGCAAGCAGACTAGAGGAGATCGTTCCCTGCATAGTTCATCCAGACCAATGTGGATTTGTAAGAGGCCGCTATGGTCTCCATAATATAAGAAGACTTCTCAATATTTTATATGAGAAAACAGGCTTTCTAGACCACTCAGCCCTATCTTTAGACGCTGAGAAAGCGTTTGACAGGATAGAGTGGGAATATTTACTTGAAGTTCTGCAGAGGTTTGGTTTAGGTCTGAACTTTATTAAATGGATTAGACTTTTATATTACAACCCACAGGCCAAAATAATGACTAATGGACTTGTTTCCGCACCTTTTAATTTAAAACGAGGAACAAGACAGGGCTGTCCCCTTTCCCCATTGCTATTTGTTTTGGCCATTGAGCCTCTCGCTATGGCCATTCGCAAACGGGGGAACATAACAGGAATAAAAACTAATAATATGGAACACAAAATTTCCTTGTATGCAGATATTATATTATTCTGTACTAATTTAGAAAGATCACTCCCAAACTTACTTACCTTGATAACAACTTTTGGTACTTTTTCAGGTTACAAAATAAATAATGACAAATCAGTAATAATGTTCCTATCTGATGAAGAGAGACTAAATCCCCCAATCAAAACTTATTTTTCCACCTCAAAATATGGGTTTTCTTATTTAGGAGTTAAAATTACCCCTACAATAAGGGAAATAATCTCAGCCAATTAGACACCTTTAGCAAATATAATTTCTGAACAAATTAATAAATGGACATAATTGCCTATTTCTATGATAGGGCGTATAAATATTTTGAAAATGTCAGTTCTTAGTAGGTTCTTATACCTTTCTCAGTCTATTCCACTCTCCCCACCTCTTAGTTATTTTTAACCTTTAAATAAAACATTCACCAATTTTATTTGGAACAATAAATGACCACGACTTAGACTCTCATTATTATATTTACCATATGATAGAGGAGGATTGAAGGTTCCAAACTTATTATGGTACTTCTGGGCAGCTCAAATTAGAATGGGTATGCTTTACTTTGAACCAATAAATAAATCCCCAGCTTGGGTCAACATTGAGGTTCAAAATATTGCAATTTCTCCAAACCTTTATATATATATATATATATATATATATATATATATATATATATATATATATATATATATATATATTCATCAAATATAAAGAAATTGTTGAAAGTAACCAAAAACCCATTTTTCAAAAATGCAATTAAAATATGGCATGAGGTAGGTAACTGCCTTGATGGGACTAGACGGCTATTTCCTCTTGCACCTTTTTTTTCTGCCAGCTCTGCAGATGGACGAGACATTGTTTTGAATTTCTCTTTTAGCAGCTTTGGGAGTCTAAAAATTCCCTCACAGGATACTTTAAGCACTTCCTCGGTGGAAACGAAGCAATCCCGGTGGTTGTTGATGCAGGTGCTGCTGCGTGTTTGTTCAGTTTTGCTTTGATCCACTAATTTTATTTAATTTTTTGCGGTATTGGAGACGTCTTTATGGTGCGTTAACCGCAGCGTTTCACAGCGTGGTCGATGGTCAAACCGGTTAATCCTTGCAATCCTAGAAGGGAGAGTGATCCTCCCTGTCGGTTTATATATTTATATATGACACTACAGTTGTTCTGTGCATACTAGCACATTCTGACCTCTCAGGTAACAACAGAAAAGCCTATAGACTAGAAACACAGCTGACAGTTCTAGATGGTATATACAGAACTGGAATTGTCGCACTCCACCTATAATCAAGAGGCACCATGGCTATAGTGGAAGCCATTATGCCCAACAGCTCAAAATCTGTGAGGAGTTTTTTAGATTGGCTTGGAAGTGGCTTATGTTGCTGAAGAATGTGGCTATCCAGTGATACGAGAGGCACACTCTAACCGACAGAGAGCATACTTCTGGTTCGAGGATGAAAACCCTCTGGCTTGGATCAAGGGAACTCTTGTAATTTACGGAGATAGACCAAGACTCAAACATGAGAAAGCTTTCTAAACGTGAGCCTCCGCATGCACCCGAGAACTCAATACCAGAGCCAGATCGCCCAAGTAAGCAAGACTGCAGATGGCCTTCTCTCTGAAGGACACATTTGGAAAAGGTGCAGGGAGCTAGGGCTAGTCCGAGTGGGAGAACCAAATACTCATAGGTTTTGCCTTCAAACGCGAAGCACAGGAACTATATGACCGGGGTGAATGCCCTCAAAAAAATATGCATCCATGAGATTGATCGCAATAAAGCAATTTCCAGGATTGATGGCACTAGGCAGCTGCTAGAGCTTTAGCATTTTGAAAAACTGCACCTGCGCAAATACTTGTTTGGTATACACAGATCCAGAATCGGGCAAAGCCGTTCTCATTTTGAGACAACGTAATGGTTGTACCAACCTTTGTTTGCTCGAACAGCTCCTTTTGTTAACAGCCTAAATTTCCTTTCTCAGGTGGTCTGACCTGGAAATGTAATCAGCGGTAACCCACAGCAACCATGCGCTTGACCCAAGGAGACACAGCACAATGTGTGCCAGAGAAAGGTTTGCAGTAAGGTGGCTAGTCAACACTGTCGTGATGGCGCCGCTGCCCTGTAGCAGAGTGGAAGGGCTCGGCACAGTGTTTGACAACACGTTCTGAGCTCCGTGTCTGCAAACAGTGGGGAACTACTGTTTTCCAGCCAAATGAGAGAAAACCGTCTCAGGATGACTGAGTCTTATTTTTACAGTTCACAGAGTGTTTCTGTGGGCCCCAGGAGGGCCCTTACTCCAGACAGACTAGCTGCAATGTAAGGGCTGGGGTCATCGACCAGCCATGGGGCTTTCCATCGTTGCTGGCGACACCGCCGTCCGAGACAGGGGAGGCAAGATGATGGCTTGTTAAACCGCTCCGAGTATCTGGGTCTAAAATCTCATTGATTAAGTGTGTGAGTGTGCTACCGGGTGGGACCAGAGCTCCAAGGTCCGCCAAAGACATTGCTAAGCAGATCTGCAATATGGTGGCAGAGCTGAGTGTGAGGGCGGAGGTGGCTTGGGCTCAAGCTGTGTGGTTGAAAACCTGCACTGTGTAGAGGGTAAACAGCAGGTCCACTCACCAATGTTACCAGTTGAGGCCAAAAAAGCTGCCAGTAGGGGCTCCATAGGGAGAAGGTTCACAAACCCCAGCTTCTCTGCACTGTTGAGGTCCACGAACTGCCCATAGCTAGATACTGCAATGTGGGCCGACAGTGGCTTCCCCCAAGACAATGCAAGTACAGTCTGGAAAGGTGGTAGTAAGTTTTTGACTTCAGCCATTATGGTGGAGAGGTAAAAAAACAAAACAAAAACCAAATGGAACCCATTTGGGCTAGCGGAGGAGCAGGCCAGTCTAGCTCAAGTTTCTCCGCCGCTTGTCAGCAAAGCGGAAAAAAAGTGTCCTCCCGACATTGAGTTGAGGCAGCAGTAACAGTAGCACAATCCACAATAAAGAGTTTCCTAGTCCTCAGCAGGTCATGACTGTTGACATAAATGTACCGCAAGTCCTTCTCTGGAGGAGAGAACTGGCAAGTCTCCAGGTAGAATTTGGTCAGCCTATCTGTCACCTCCAAGTGATCTGCCCAGCTAGCAGCGGGGAACTCTATCACAAGACCACCCGCGTCGGAACTGTGCAAAGCGGCAGGAACCGACTCGGAGAGCATGGGGTCCTGCTGCGAACACGCAGTCCCCCAGGACATGTTGGAGGAATTTCATGTGCTGATCAAGTGTAGAACAATGGAGCTGGCAACAGAATTTGCACACGTCTGGGTCCAAGAGAGCTCTGTTGGCATGAATAATCCACAGGCATTCAGGACAGGCTTCGTGCAGGTGCTTCTCGTGGAGAAAAAACCCACAACCCTAAGGACAGGGACGCGAAGCTGACTTTCACCTAGTAGAGTCCAGCTCATGTCGAGACACAGAGCGGAACGGCAGAGGCGAAAGAGCAAAGAGGCAGAAAGCTAAAAGAGCCACAGAAGGGTAGCGCTCAGTGGGCAAATACTGGCCAGAAGGCAGCAGAATAAACACCAGCGAGCAGTTAAGCTAAATTTTCAATAGCATAGCTAACAATAGTTTATTTGTACTTACATGCTATCAGCGAGGTGAGGAGCATTAAAAACTGAGAAATGCCAATGGCGCTGGGCGCTTGTAGGTGGAGGGCGGGGCCACCACCCAGCGTCATGCTCATTTTCCTTTACAGGCATGATTAAATGTGTCTTCAGCCAGTCCACATGAGGGCGCCGATGACCCATAGTACCTTAATTTTACCGAGTGAATTGACTGAAAGGTAACGGTACAGAGACATGATGAAGATGCTCACATCTAGGCTCTAGTGGCTTTTTATTGTATCTTTAATAAGACTATTCTATGAAAACCAAACCTGCTTCATAGCAATTAACAGCTGCACTTGAATTAAAATATTTTGTGGTATCTAAAAATAATATATGTACATAAAAGAATATCGTACAATGTCGTAATAACTGCAGTTTAAAAAAACGTCAACCTAATTAATTTTGAGCCCCAAAGAAGGAATCCTACCTTGAAGGCTGTGGAGACAGCTGAAATTGTTGTCAAAGTTATAAGGCGACTCAGGTATAAAAGTTATAAGCAGTGGACAGCTGACAGAAAGAGAGAACCACTTTTGGGCTGCAAAAGTTCTCCTACGGTGCATCGATGCTTGTATTTTAACATGAACTGGATTGTAAGAAACCTGTTTACTTTTTTAATTTAATCGGTCATCATTGTCACTCTGAGATACAGGACCAACTCAGCATGAAAATCAACCACAATTTCTAGCTAGAAAGGCAGAATTTTAGAGAATGATGCATATCCACTCACTTCTGGACAATCACAGTGGTCAAAGGAAGCCTGCAGGAAGCATTTGGCAGCTGGTTTGTATTTTCGGGAGGCCAACTCAGCCAGTCCTGAAAAGTGTGGGGTGGGGGGTGGGAGGTTCATGTAAAGACAAAAATTAGACAATTCTGTCCTAGCTATTAAGGTAACCTAAAACCCTATTTTTGATTTATTGTTCTAAAAGCAGATAGAACTGATGGCTCCCTTGGAATTAACAAACATTTTATTAAAGACCTGGGGCCTCATTTATCAACCGTACTTATGAACAGATCTGTGCGTATATTGTCAATAGGAACTAATTTACGCATTGTGTGGTATTCATCATTTTGTACCTGTGCATGGAAATATTCCTAAATATAAGAAAACTTATGACCATGCGTAGGAACAGCATCTAGTGATAGAACAGGGTAACTGCAACACAGAAGGTCTCAGTCAACCACACATGTTCCTCATCCACAATTTCAGTGGAAAAACAGCTGTGTCACATAATTGGTGCTACAATATCCGACGGGAATCTGACATTGTCGAATGGTTGTCATCTTTTTTGTAATCACAAATTGTTCTGTTCCAATTTGATTATGTTTTTAATCTTTTTAATTAATTAATATTATTTTTAATTCTATTTTAGTATATAAAATTTTTTTCATTGCAAAATGCCTTGTGATTTTGCTTGAGATGCGTTAGATAAAAGAGCATTTCTATATTATTAAGATCTGGAGTAATGGAATTAAAAATAGGAGAAAATATTAATAGCTTTAAAATTTTATAAAATTACCAGGTCTTTGGGTAATTTCTGCCGGTTTTGCGAGAAAAATATGCGCATAAAGGGCAGGGTTTCTCCCAGCGATTTTTAAGTTTGATTCTAATCAACGTGAAGCACCCAGATAAATCTGTAGCAATCAGATTACATCCTGCATGTAAACAGGGGTTTTGTTGTGCATTCCTTCAGACATTGTGCATATCCTGTTTCAATTCTGTCTCCTTTGCCCCCGCCAGTTTCTCTTTACTGCTTGTGTTGCTATAAGCTATCTGGAAGAACGGCAACATGAAAAAGCGCATGTTGCCACCTACTGTACCAGAGTGGAAAATACTTTATTTGAGAAGGCGGTTTTCTAATGTGCATGTAAATTAGGATAAAGACTCACAGCCTATTACAATAAGATCGACCTGGATCGACTTAGATGTCAGTCAGTGCGCATGTAACAGGATAAGAAGGGTTTTATGTGCGAGGATCACAACATTAGTAAATTGCTGTGGTACTTGGTGCAAGAAAAAACATTAATGATGAGCTAAATTAGAATTGAGAAAAAAACACAATGAAATGATAATATATAGGGAATCAATAATTAGAGAAGCAGCTACTTTATACAAGTCCGTATAGGTACTGGTCAGAGCGGGTCAGTTCAGGTGCAAACACAACACAGGGTCAGGTGACAGAAACAAAGATGATGAGGTGGGCAGGTCTACAAATGTCATTCATGAGTCCGACAGCAGAGGGGAACAAACTGCTTTTGTGGGGAGAGGTTCTGGTTCGAATGGATCTGAGCCTCCTGCTAAATGGGAGCGAGTCAAAGAGACTGTGTCCAGGGTGAGCTGAGCCTGCTGTGATCCAACCTGCACACCTAAATGTCCCGGAGGTGTATATGTCAACCACAGGTAACCGCACTGACCGTGACATAGATGTACCAGGCTTTTCTAACCCTAGAGTTTCTCCGTCTATTTTCTATTAGAAGCGGATCCAGGAGATAGGCGTAGGAGACTGCTTACATGTTCAGCCAGCATGAAAAATCTCAGAGTGACTGATTAGAACACGAAAAAACATTTTATAAAATGTTTTTTTAGTCAACCACACCTTTAAGTGGTGCAACGCAGCTCAGCTTTATTTTGAACCTGGTTTAAATCATTTAAACCAAGTTTACTAATCACTGATTAGTGCTAATCTTAGTTTAAATTACACCCTGTTACTGAAACAAAAAGCAGTAAGCTTTAGTTGTTTAAGGACTATTTGTATAGATGAACATCATACCTGCAGCACATTTTAACTTGGTGAGGACAGCTTGGTTCTGGCTGTCTCGCTCTCCTCGTTGCTACAACAAAGAAAACACGAGATTTTAATTGGAATAATGTAATATTGGCTTTGAAAATATTTTATTATTTATTAAACTGTAAACTAAATTACACTAATATCACATCATCACAAGTCAAAAAGATAAACAAGCTTATTATCTCAGGCATTAAGTTATAACAAACCAGATGCATAAAAATCAATTAAATACTGGATTCTACTTAAGTGATACACACAACACGATCCTCTATAGCCATTAGATTGTACAGCTCTTAAAACTCTGTTGGATTTGGTGCACACACTGGACCTTATTCTTATGGACCAATAAAGCAATAACATACTGTATTTTTTTAATCAAATTCTGATTAAACAAAAGATCTTTTTTATTTTATTTTATTTTCTAGCTGTCCATAGTTTGATTGTCTTCTATTGCAACGGAGACATCTGGGAACAAAATGAAGGCAAATTACCTCTGCAATTTCTGGGGTGGATTCTGCTTTGTTCACATAGCTCAGCACATGTGACCAGTTCTGAAGGTACACACTCACCTAGCAGACAGGAAAAGAAACCTTCTTTAGAACATTTAGTTTGTTCTCATGAAGATGTGTGTGTGTATGTACGCACACACACACACAACCACGCATTTTCAACTCGTTATAGCAAAATTGGAAAACAAATTTGCCTAAAACATTTTTTTCACATCTCTTAAAAAGGTTTTATCATAATATAGTTACAAACATTGTGCAAATAAAAAAAGAAAGTCTAAAAACTGAAAGCAACTACTGGGCCATCCGGTTGTTGGTCTCACTGAACCGCCTCACTTCCCTGGGTCCTCCACAACACCATTGGTGTGCGAGGTTCTACGCTCAATAACTTCAGAGATAGAGAAACAGGTAGCTGCTACTACTTGCAGCGTTGGAAATGTCAGTGCTCCAAGGGTTAACTGTGTGCTTTCCACTGCTCTATGACCTTGCTACCAAGAAGGGAAGCCATAAAAAAATCCCTTCTCCTGACTCCCTTATCTGGCCTGCAACTCACAAGTGTCTTAAGAAGATGAGGCTTTTCTTCTTATAAAATGATTTCTTTCAATCCATAGATTTACAGTCATGTTCTGTGTTATCTACAATGAATGTTCTATCTAAAGTGATTTAATAATCGATCGATTATCAGTTGAATTCACACATTAATATCAGTGTATTAACAAATGAATGCTTAATAGATTTACTCCACATACTAAATGAAATGAGCTTTCCAAGCATCACAGAAAGGGGAGTGTTTTAGGATTCTTGATAAATGCCTGTACAAATATCTCAGATCTGGCTGGTCAAAGTTTATAAACTACCATTTCATTAAAAGTGATCTCACTTCCTATTTTCCCCAGTTCCGCCAGAACTCAGAGTTCAGCAAAAGCTCACAGCTCATGCTAAATAACCATCTTATGGGGAGTCTAACCAGATTTTTCAGTGGAATACTTTTAGCAGCACATGAATCATCCTCTTTGACTTATTATTTGCTCAATCTACAAACGACTCATCAGCCGTAAAATGGCCCACATACAGCCCGAGAGAGGATTTCTGACCAGCTGATGCAGATTCAGGGGAATATGGGCTGTACATTACATCTTTCTGAGCCACTTAATGAAGCACCTAAAACATACAAGGTCATGTTTCATCAGAGTTCATTTGATATCACTTTGAATCACCATTTATAATCATTTGCCTTTCATCATCATTAACATAGTAAACTGTATTTTTTCTCTCTGTGTCAAATTATTATAAAGTGTTGTTTCCCTGGCGTACCCAAAGTATTTCCCTGGCATACCCAAAGTACCTAGTTTCATCATCAATTGAATATTAAATGTTCAATAATATTGATAATCCATATTTTTATGGAATATTACATTTTATTGAATACCTTTATATTCTACTTACAATTATTAAAAGTACCCACTTACAAATTGTTACACACTTCAACTTTAAGACAAACTACCAGAGTCCCAAAAAGATCAATACCATTTGAAGTCACGGACAACAATAGATGTTTGGTCCTAGGAAACGGCGACTGGTGTTTAGCGCTCCCTCGTTTCCTCTGATAATGCGGAAGTCCCGATCCAGCAGAAGAGTCTTAAGGAAGATACCCATGACTGTGTTTGCGTTCAAAACCTACCTTGTTCTGTACTTTCACAATAGCAGCTTTAAGAATATTTTGTTTGGAGATTTTAATACAAGTAAAAGTTTATCTTAAATGTCGTGTTTTAAATATTTTTTACCTACTGTACCTTAATGACATTCAGACACATGTTAATAACATGCTTAGCACTGGTGCAGTAATCTCTGGCACGGGAATAGCATTTTAGAGCATTACTGAGGTCCCCACAGTCCAGGTAGTGGTCCCCCAAATCATCATGGCCCCTCCTACAATGAAGATAGGAAAGATGAGAATGAATGTTAACCTGTAGGGGTAATTTGGGAAGTTAAGGTTCAATCATTTTGTTTTGTCTGTCATTGTAAACAAGCAATAGCCCTCCCAGAAGCAAAGAAAATTAGACATAAAAATAGGGTCAAAGGTACGATGTCACTTCTCACATTCTAGTGCTTTTCAACAGATTAATTATAAATGGTAAATGGTATTTAATATAGTGCCTTTTAGAGTCCTGGAACTCCCCATGGTGCTATACAACACAATCAGTCATTCACCTATTCACACAAACATTCACACCCTGGTGGTGATGAGCTACATAACAGCCACAGCCGCCCTGGGCGCTGACGGAAGTGAGTCTGCCGTACACAGGCACCACTGGTCCCTCTGGCCACCATCAGCAGGCAAGGTAGGTTAAGTGTCTTGCCCAAGGAAACAACGACAGCAACAGACTGAGCGGGGCTCGAACCTGCAGCCTTCCGATTACGGGGCGAGCACGTAACTCCTGTGCCACTGTTGCCCCTTATTATATTTAAAGAGCAAACTGCAGGTAAAATTTATTTTCTAATTCATATAAAATGCTGTCCAAAAAATACTATTTGAAATGCTTGTTGTGGATATTTTGTTGTAAAATACATAACAGCAGAGTTTTTTAGTAAAAAGTGGTCTTTCTCACCAAAGCTTCTAAAAAGACTCTTCTAAATCTGAACCTCTGACGTAACCAAAGGGAGTTACAAGCTAGGCGCTGCCTCAGCTGAATGTGGAGAGTGAGTCATTTTAGGGTAGAGAGGCAATGTTATCCAGTCAGTGTGTGTTTACTAGTTTTGTAGTGTTCATTTAGATAAACAACAGCAAATTAGAGAAGGCTGTACCAACTGCAGCCTGTCTGGACATCGAGTCCACAGGCTTCCAAATAACTGCTTCACTGACACTTAAGTCGTCATTTGCATTTTTTTTTACTGTGTGGGTGTTGGAACGAGCCCCTGCACCGTGAGAACAAACATCCCAGCTCTAAAGCCGATCTTCGTCTACATACGTCACATGTCACGTAGGGCTGCTCAATTAATCGAATTTTAATCACGATTACGATCTGAGTTTTGAACGATTATAAAAAACATAACAAGCCGATTATTTGCTCCTCCCGCTTGCGCTGCCCTAAGTTGCAAATGAAGCGCTCCTCCACAGTGTTGCCAACTTAGTGACTTTGACGCTATTTCTTGAAGCTTTTCAGTCCCCCTTCTTGACTTTTTAAATCCTAAAAGTACCTAGCGAACACCTCAGAAACATCTCTGGTAACCCTTAGCTACTTTCTGGATAACTGTCGTCGACGTTTCCTGCAGGTTAGCTAAACACTCCGCCTGCGCTCCGGACCGTTCTTCAGGACATTAGGAAAGGGAATGATGTAGCGATGTCGGTCGCTAAAAAAACAGCTCTCGGAGCCGGCTCCTTGTTGGATTAACCAGAGTGAGTGACACACACACCGCACCTGCGGACTCCTGAGCTACTAAAAACGGCTAAATGTGCGCGTGCGGCACGCTAAACACACCTGCAGCTTGCCCGATTGCTGTGAGACCGGGTTGGGGGGTGGGGGGTGCAGCTGTGGTTGGGACAATTATTACATTAACTGATGGGCCTGTAAATAAATAGTTTATAAATAAGGTAGAAATAAGTTCCTCACGCTGATAAATAATAACTAATCTCTCTGAGGACGCGGTGCTAGTGCACTCTCCTACAGAACCTTGACACGACTAAATAAATGTTATGCAACATTTTGTGAACATCAATTTATTTGCATTTATTTGTTATAAATGCCACTGTATAATTCTTGCTGTCAGTATTTGCCAGATATTGGTATTTGGGTCTGTACTGGTTAGACTTACATGAGTTAAATCAAGGTCTATAGCCCTTGGGTCATAGACTATGAGCTATAAGTATATTGTTCTTTTTATACTGGGGATCAGGAGTTATTTTAGTGATCATCTTGTTTCTTATTTTTGTCCTGATTGTGCCCTGAGCAGTTTTATGACTGAATAAAAACAAATAAAATCAACATAAATTGAAAAATCGTCCTAAATAATCGTGATCTCAATTTCAGTCACCATAATCGTGATTATTATTTTTGCCATAATCGAGCAGCCCTAATGTCACGTGATCAGGAAGCAGAAAATCTGTGTGTTAAGAGATCGTTTTGAGCTACTGCTGTAAAAAAAAGTGAGAAGCGAACCAGAAAAGCTTCTGCCGATCACAATTCAACAACAGATTATGAAAGAACGAATAACACTGGAAATGTGAGGATTCTTCCTAGTGTAAGAGGTGAGTCTACTCTTTGTTTTGTTAGTTTTGGTGTTGACATCATCCTACCGCGCAACGTTCTGTGACTCTTAAAAAAACAGTAAAAACACTGAAAAACTAGACAATTCCTGAAGAAATTTTGAAAGGATCCCGCAGTCTGGCGCAAGACAGTGGCAACATGGTGAGAAACCAGGTGCCAGGCTCACCTCATGAACGTAATTGGGGGGGGGGGGGGGGGGCTAATAACACCAAGGGTATTAGACTTCTGTAATCTCAAACACCCCAAACTACTGTCTAAAGTATTAAAGACACTGTCCAAAATAGACGATAGAATAGCAATCCCTAATGAAAAATGGGAGGTGGATCTATCAGTCAGCCACGACCAGAACTTCTGGTCCCAAACTTGTTTAAAAACTTTTTAAATGATCAGACACTCCAATTTACAACTAATTCAGTACAAAATTCTGCACTGTGTGGGTGTTGGAACGAGCCCCTGCACCGTGAGAACAAACATCCCAGCTCTAAAGCCGAACTTTGTCTGCATACGTCACATGTCACACTATACAGGTCATGGGGTGTTCAGGATGGGGTTTGTATCATCTGACACCTGTACACACTGCACAAACATCATTCCTGACAATTACATTCACGCACTGTGGTCCTGTCCACCTGTCCAGGAATTTTGGGGTAGAGTATGTGAAGACCTGTCAAAGTGTCTAAAATGTCATATCCCAACTTACCCCTCTCTTAGTTTGCTGGGAAACCTGGACGATGTCCCAAATGAAACACCTTTGGTTCACGTGGTTCTGACTGCCATATGCATCGCTAAGAAAACTATCCTCATGAATCGGAAAACTAGAGATACTCTTTGCATTAATCAGTATAGAAATCTTTTTTTAGATCAGATCACACTTGATATAGCCTTTGCTTCCACTCCAAGTCAACCTCTCTGGGGTCCTTTGATCGGTTCAATCACATAGCGATGACGGGGGATCATTGATATTGTCCTGCGGGATGATATGGTGGAGGGTCTGAGTTTGGAGTATCTGGACATTCCCTAGAGGTGAGTTCTCTGGGGGTGTCTGTGACTGGGGGGCTGCTGCCCCCCTCTGGAGGTGCTTGGGTTGCCTCAGGGGGTGGATTACTGGCAGTTACGAGTGGGGCCCCTTGGGAGGTCTTGGCGGCGGCCATGGCTTGCTGCCTGGCGGCTGCATCACCCCTGAGTAGGTCTGGGTGGGGGCTTGAGGTGTGGGGGCGGTGAGCCCCATGTGGGGACCTGGGCGGGGACTTGGGGATGAGGTCCTGACTCGTAAGCTGCTGGGATAAGGCAGAAACAAGCGGCAGTGCGTGGCCCACGCTCAAGGACCTCAGGTGGACCTTGGCTCCTCTGGAATTATAACTCCCATCACAGGGGAGGGGGATGTCCAGCAAGGGGAGGACCCAACCTTACCTGGATGTTATGTTATGTTTATTCACTTAGCAGACGCTTTTATCCAAAGCGACTTACAATGTCTAACCTGTAGGGCAGTGGTTCCCAACCTTTTTCCCAAGGGACCCCTTTGTTACCAGTAAAATTTTAGACGACCCCCTCCCATTCTCTCTTCCAGTACAAACAGTATTAAGAAATGATAAAATTATTCAAGCACATTTTAATATGCTTTGATTTAATAGATAACAGTAATAGTAGGCTCCAGTACAGAACAAAGTCATTAACAAAACCAGAGCATAATGTGCTTGACAGTTTGTATTACTTTTCTGAAAACATTGTTTCTTGTAAACACTGATATTCATCATTCATTTCAATAAATGTTTGACACATAAAAAATACACTGAGCAAAATGTACTTAAATGTGTATATTACTGTTTATACTAGATTATTTACTGTAAAGGCTGTGATTAATCAACCAGTCCTATCTTTAATGAACTTTTGACACTTGAAAATAAAACAGTGAGCTGAGCAAAATGTTCTTAAAAGTGTGTTACTCTTTCTGTACTAATTATTTCCTGTCTTAATATCAGTAAACTTTTCACTCATGAAAAATGTGAGCACAATGTAGGCTATAAACAAGTAATAAATGAAGTTTTAACCCCTTAAAGTGGAGAGGTCCTGGCAACCCTATGAGAGGCTTTGGCGCCCCCTTGTGGGGGGTCGGGACCCCCAGGTTAGGAACCACTGCTGTAGGGCATGTTGTGAACTGTGGGGGAAACTTGTATTGAGTCTCTATTTAAATTGCAAAAAAAGAATATTACAATTGTTAATAAGGTAGAATACCTCACACCAACTAACAATTTATTTAAACAAAGTAAAACTCTAAAATTAAGAGATATTGTACACGTTAGAACTTTAGAGATTATCCATAGAGTAGCTAAAAACAATATCCCAAGTTGTTGAAAAGTTTTTTTCAAATTAAGCGATAGCCATTATAATATTAGAGGTGTATTGATTTTTAAATGTGCTAAAGCAAGAACTAATATGAAATCAAGGTGTATTTTTGTTTTTGGTGTGAAATTATGTAATGAGTTAAATTATGACTTGAAGAGATGTACTTCTTTATCAAAGTTTAAAGCATATGTTAGGTGTCAAATATATAATGATTATGAAAGTATGTGTAAATAATGAAAATGTTTCATAGGTTTTGTTCGTTTGCTGGGCGGATGTATATAGGTTATTTGATTTAGATGGAAAATAGGGTAGGCTACAATAAGCATTGTTTCTGCCTTTTCTTTTTTGGTTGTAATTTATGTTGTCAATTGTGTTGCTTGGATATAAAATTTTGTTATGTTACAACCAAAAACATTAAAAAAATAAAAACTTCTGCAGTCCCTAGCAGCATTCTCGCAGGCCAATCATAGCTCTCTATAGGGGGTTTCAATCCTATAGAGCGCTGTGATTGGTCCACAATGGTGGGCCAATCACAACACTCCATCTGCTTTATGGACAGATCACAGCGCTTTAACCGCTTTGTGGACCAATCGGGCCCTCTATTCGTCCATCTGGTGGGTGGGATGATGCAGCAGAGTGGAACAAGATTGCGACAGCTCGTTGTAAACAGCTTTTACATCAATTTTGGACTATTTGGACTTGGGCTTTATTAGAATCAGGAGCAGATAGATGTATTTAACTCCTGTATTTAGAAAAAAGGATGTGTTCTCGTCTTCTTTAACAGGGGACTGCTTCGTTTACAGACATTCCATTGCGGTGAGTATGTCACGTTGTTCATTGTCCAGTGGCATGCGGAGATCGTTTGAAAGACAACAGTAGAACCCACCCCACGACCGAGAGCCGTCAATGGCGTGTTGCCAGACTAATTATATAAACACATACATATATACATACATACATACATATATACATACATACATACATTACATACATACATACATACATACATACACACACATACAGCCATTTGCAGTCATACCTGATGCTCTCTTTAATCGAGTTGCCTTTGTAGTTTTTCAGATCGGTATCTAGCTTCTCTAGCTTGAGAAGAGCCTTCTTCCGAGTTGATTCGGCCCAAGCTGAGTCCAGTGGAGGGGAAACCATTCCTCCTTCCGGTAATGTATCTGGTGCTCCCTGCACTTCTCTAAAGTGAGGAGAAAAGAGAAAAACAAAATAGAATGAGGCACCAACATGCTTAACTTGACCTATTTTTTTCTGAACCCAAACACAATGCTGTCTCCACTACAGTTCTGCTCAGGCCTGAACCCTCTCAGGAGTGTCTACAGATATGGGTTCTAGAGTGGGGCAGCCACTACCCTCCTCCTCTAGCTAGCTGGATAATATAAAGCTGTATGATGAGAATGAGTGAGGCTGATCCACCTCAAAAGGATAAACAGTGAACACACTGGAACATCTTTCATACTGGAAAAATATGGTTCAATGATATCCAAAAACAGGCAATGTGATCAGAAGTGAAGGACTTACAACAGATTTTCAAGACCATTACTATGACTCTCAAGGACATGGAGAGGCTTTTTGAAATCCCCCAAATCAAACAGCAAGTTAGCAATATTCAGTGCTGGATTTTTCAGATCCTGTTATACTTTTTTTGGCATTTATTTTTTTATCTCAGGTGGAGCAGGAGGTATGAGATCAATATCATAGTCTTTGGGCTTCCTGTTAATTGAAATGTTACTAGCTGAGCTGTTGTTTCATCTCTGGTCACAGTGCTGAAATTACTACTGGCACAGCTGATAGAGGAACATGGTCAAAGACTGCTGACAGGCATGACTGCAGTCTGATGTGGGTCTGAAACCTCTGCAGGAAGAGGTCCCTGCATATTTCCAAGATGATGTGTGGGAGAGCTTCAAGAACACTGTATGTATCATGAATGTATTTGAGTCATGCAGACAGAAGGACTTTTTTTTACTTTTTCTTTTAATCGTCTACAGGTGATGATGCCACTTCTGAATGCACTGACCGAGAACATTGACAACAGATTCCCAAACACTGGCAGTTTGTCTGTCTTTGGTGTTCTCTCCCAGACAAATCTTGGCAAACTCTAGTGCAGAGAATGGGGATGCTGAGATGAGGACACTGGCTGAGCAGTTTCCAGGACTGAGGGAGCCTGACCTCTCGTCTGAGTGGAGCTCCTACAGACTGAGAGTGGAGAGTCCTGATCCGAAGGTACTGCATACTAATAAGTTACAATGACTGTATCAGCACCACCACAACAGTCTGGTTTACTGAATAATCTCATCTTTGTTTTCACTCTGCTTTTAGTCAGACCAAGTCTCTGGAAGAGGTGCCTCTGTGGCTTGTGTCTGCAGAATCTACTGAGCTGTACCCCACCCTGAGCCTTGCAGCTGCTATCGCTCTCACAGCCCCTATCCAGACTGCAGATGTGGAGAGGCTGTTCTCTGCACTCAAAATTGTAAAATACAATTGAAAACACTATCACTCTTCATGTCTGCCAGAATAAATACAACAATACTTTATGCATGAATTGTTTTGTTTAAGGTAAAGCCACCTTTGCGCTACAGACTGAACGAGAGGCACCTGGATGTCTTTTCTAAGGTGGCCATCGATGGACCAGACCATGAGGCCTTGGACTACCAGGAGTACATGAGGAGGTTCTATAGGATTAAAAACAGAAGGCTGAAATGTTCTCTCTCTGGTTGTGAGATGTGTAGATAAATCCCCCACAACTTAGTGCACTTTCAGTTTAAAGTTGGCACCTTAATTTTTTTATGTACATTGTTTTAATAAAATAATGCTTTAACATGATAATTGTCATGCTATTACTAGAATGAGGGGTGCCGCGAACCTACTTTTCCCTGCCTGGACTTTGTGTATCTGTCGATACCCAATACCAATCTGATACTATTGGTGAGTTAATCAACTTCCACCTTAAACCATTTTTGAAGAGACTAAAGGCACCAGACTTACCTAAGACAAATTAACAGATGTAAAACATGAAATGACCATAAAACTAAAACTTGAAGTGAAAATTTAACCATTTTTTGTATTTTTATTGTAGACTTATCATATTTTAAGTATCGGTTCATGGTATCTGTTACTTTTAACCGATACATGTACATTAGACGGTATCGGGCCGATGCCAGTATTGGTGCATCCCTAATTAGAATAACTAAAAAATATTTTGCCTTCAAAAAGTGAGGCAGTTGAATGCACGGAGTATGCATGTGGTGGCGCATGGCGCCAGGAAAAACCCTGGTGAGCCTGCAAGGGAGTCAGCAAGAACCACTTCCTGCCAAAGAGTTATGCCAGGATCACATCAGCTGCAAAGTGGATCGCCCACAAAATTTGCGGACTGCCCGCTGCTCCTCTGTTCACATCAGGCAAGAATTTTTGACGGGCACGTCTGCTCACACCTACTGTTTTCAAACTCACCAATACAACCCCATGACCTTGTTGTGTGTGTGTGTAACCAGTTTGCCCTGCTTGTCATCTGAAACTGTGCTGATCCCGCTGCTGTTTTGTAGACCAGTTCCTTTCTAAATGGTTAAGTAAATAACCTAGTGTTTGTGGTAGTGTACAATGCTGTTGTATTGAATTAAACATATTTATTTGTATTCACAATTATTAAATCCATCTGTTGCTGTAAAAACTACATTAAAATTATGGAAATGCCATGTTTCTACACAGGAGGTTGTGTGTGGTTTTTTTTTTTTTTTGGTTTGTTCATTTTCATCTCTCTAGTCTGTTTGAATACACAAAAGTTGTCACATTTATCAATCACGATGTTTTACTTAGAAAATTTTCTTTATTTTGTTAAATTTACCAGCCTGCCTATTCTGCTTTGGTTCGACTTCCTGCCAGAATTTACGTGGCTCACGAAAAAATAGAGGACATGCCGAAAAAATCGTTGCACGGCGTGAGACTTCATCGCGCTTCACAGCTGATGTGACTGAGATCATGGGTTTCATCATGGATCATGGGTTCCTTTGTTACTACGTCCATTGTTATGTAATGTCAAGTGCTGGTCGGAACCCTCTTTGGAGAAAAAACAAAAAAGTAATAAATTAAGACGTAAAGAAAATCATCTGTGCTCTCTGGCTAGTTTATGCAAGTCCCTGACAAGGTCCTTCCCGTGAAGAAAGAATCCACAGTCCTGAGGACGGGTGCGAAGCGGCTGTCCGTGAAGCGACATTCAACATGATGCTCACTACGAGACACACAGTGGAGTGAAAGCAGAGAAGCTGAATAGCCACAAAAGATAACGCTCGGTGGGCGGGAATGCTAGCCAAAAGGCAGTAGAGTCCAGTCAGCAAGCGGTTAAGCCATCTTTCAATAGCGCAGCTAGTTTTCAGGTGTGTACTCAGCGAGGTGAAGAGCATAAGAACCGAGGAATGCCAGTAATGCGGTCGCTTATAAGTGGAGGGCGTGGCCTCCTTGCAGCGTCACTTTCATTTGCCTTACAGGCGTGATTAAATGTGTCTTCAGCCAGGCCACGAGGGTGTGATGTCCCAAAGTACCTTCGTTGTACCGAGTGAATTGACTGAAAGGGAACCAATAAGAGCTCTTGCATCATTCCAGAAAACTTAAGCATTATTGCTTAGACATTTTCGTGGCCATGGCTTAATAAACAATATTGTGTTAGCTAGGAATAATAAAAGGGAAGGTAAAGTTAATTTAACGTTTTTACTACCTTGTGGCTTCTGTGAGTTTACGGTGGACTTCTTCGTAAGTATCAACATTAAAGGTCCTCTGGACGAAGGTGAAGGCCATCTTTAGAGCCTCTACTCGCAGCTGAGGGCAATGCTCTGCAATGAACTGAAGCCTCTCAATGCGCATTAATCCACTGTAGCTAGTCACATATTGCTCCAGGTCCTACACAAAAAGACAACAAAAAAAAAGTCAAAACTTTCTGAAATGTCCAGCTAATAAAACTTGCAATTAGAAATGGGTGATAAACCAAAAATTGTACCAAAGTTTCACCCTATTACAGAAATTTTGCCCTTGTTGGTATATTCAGTTGAAATAAAAATGTGTGTAGGTTGGCCAATGTTCATGTCCCTTTAAGATGCTGTGCTATGAATCGCATTCAGTACATGTATGGAATCAGGGAAAACATCAACATTAGTAACCAGAATGAAATACAACAAAATTGTCTGTGCATTATTTCAGTACCCCAAATATTTAATACTTTATTACATTTTACCACAAAGTAGTAGCCTGGCAAGCCAGACTAAATAATATATTTATTTCGTGGCAGCCCTTCACACAGCATGATTGTACCATTTTCTGTAGGTTTATGAGCTCAGAACAGCCCAAAGCGACTAATGCGTCTGTTGTTAATACACCTATCTATCCCAACACGCAATGCACTACAGCACCCGCACTACAGCACTGCAAGTTACACTGAAGCAAACATCTTTGTTGTGAACTAAATGTAAATTCCTTTTGCTGTTCATTTTCAAATGGTTTATTTTTCCTACTTGAAGGTTAGAATTTCCAAAGAGAAAGTGAACGCACCATTAGCTGAACGCACCATTAGCTGAATGGAAGTTTGAAGAGAGGGCCTTGTTTCAGACTAGATCTTTTTAATAAACGGAACAAATGGCTGAAAATTTCTTAACACTCAAAAGTATCAAAAACTGCTACCTATAAGTACCGGTATCGATTCGTAGGTACTGGGAATTGGTACCATATCGATTCAAATGTCAAAGGTACCCAACCCCACGCACCACAGTGGTTCAGAGCGCTGCGGATCAGCTGATCTGATCACAATTCCACAAAATAAAAAGAAATTGGATAAACATCCAATCTTATTGTAAAAGTATTGTAAAATTGTAAAATGCAGAACAGCTTCATTTTGCCTGCAGGTAATCACACTAAGTAAAACAACTTTTATGAGCAAAAAATAAAAAATAAAAAATAAAAAAAAAACATGAAAAATAAATAAAAGAATTAGGAAAGCAGGAAGAAATTTGTGTTTTTACTTTAGTTCAGATAATTTAGATTTTAGTGTTACACATTTAGCTAGTATTTTTTTAAATAACTTAATCTTTAATCATTTACTGTAATTTTTGTTGCATTTTTTTAAAAAGAATCTCAATGTAATATTTATTTAAATACGTTATGAAAATTCAATGTAATTTGAATTACCGTATTTTCCGCAGTATAAGTCGCTCCAGAGTATGTCACACCAACCATAAAATATATAATGAAGAAGAAAAAAACATATACAAGTCGCAATGGACTATATGTCGCATTTTGGGGGGAAATTTTATTATTTTTCTTACAAAATCTGAGAAGAAGTCTATCACATTGCAAGACAAGTACCGGTAACAATAACAGAATAAACAACCAGGGCGCAGCAGCGCACCACGGTCTCCAGCAGAGGATGGCTGTGTTTCAAACCCTTCCAGCGGGTGGGGAGAGATCATTCCTGGGCCGGAGCCAGCCCGCAGCACCCCACCACAGGCTGCAGCAAGTGATGGTGGTGTTTGAAACCCTCCCAGCGGGACAGGGGAGCTCAATCCTGGGTCGGAGCTGTCCAGCCTGCAGCAGCTCACCACAGTCTCCAGCAGGTGATGGTGGGGCAGAGGAGCTTATTCCTGGTCCGGAGCCAGTCTGCAGCAGCGCGGTATACATAATTTGGTATATAAGTCACTTTGGTATATAAGTCGCAGGACCAGCCAGATTATGCAAAAAAGTGCAACTTACAGTCAGGTTCATAAATATTGGGACAGCGACACAATGCTAACATTTTTGGCTCTATACACCACCACAATGGATATCAAATGAAACAAACAAGATGTGCTTTAACTGCAGACTGTCAGCTTTTATTTGAGGGTATTTACATCCAAATCAGGTGAACGGTGTAGGAATTACAACAGTTTGCATATGTGCCTCCAACTTGTTAAGGGACCAAAAGTAAGCTTCTCAGCTGTTCCATGGCCAGGTGTGTGTTATTCCCTCATTATCCCAATTACACTGAGCAGATAAAAGGTCCAGAGTTCATTTTCAAGTGTGCTCAGGGTTTCCCTTACATAGGCGTAGCCGTGGCGGCCCGCCACGGCTGAAATCCCACCGCCACGCCTACAACATCCCAAGTTTTATTGATGGTTTATTTTTTTTTGCGCCGTTTCCCGAAGAAGCAGCAGGAACTACTGTGTTGTTGCTTGTGATCACAGCCGGCAGGTAGCAAGGAGGAGGAGGCACGGCAGGGTGGTTACAGCTATGAGCGTACGATAAAGCATTTTTGACGAATACGAGCATGAAACGAGTGTAAAACTCGGAAATATCTGTAATCATGCTGAATGAAATTCTCATTGGGTAACTGACTGTCTTCAAGCTCTGTGATTGGCCAGTCAGACAGAGCGCCCGCCCCTCCCTACAAGCAAAACTGCAGCCGGGAGCTCAGTCAGCTCGGTCCAGGCATCAACGCACACACACAGACAGTAAAGCCGGGCGGACACTGTGCGACTTTTTCACTTTTTTGAGCAGATTTTCCACTCGTGCGAGAATCCACAAGATCGGGGCGAGTTTTGCGCTGAGCGTCGTGTAGTGTACAGGGGGTTACGAGAGGCGATTAACACCACGTGACCAGCTACCGATCAGCAATCATGAGCTCGCACGGACTTCTGGAGTGTTTCACATTTATCTCGTTCCTCATGAGGGTTGAAGCGGCGCAGCGAGCAGCTGCGACCCAAAAAGTACCAGAACCGCTCACGGCGTATTCGCAATCATGCATCAACTCCGCTCACCCGCTATTTCCCTAATAACACACGCTGTTCGTTTTTATTTCTACACGTTTTTTTACTCACAAAGATTGTCAAGAAAGCGTGTTTGTCGTGTTCATGTCAAATTAAACTGATCACAAAACACAGATTTACTTTCTTTATTTCGTTTCCTCATCCAACCCCCATAAATCCCTGTGTGTCCTCCTGCAGCACTCCCAAAGGACAACAGGCAAAACAAGACAAAAAAGTCTGACGTGTTGTGTAAAAACTGCTATTTTTAGCATATTTTAGGTCCGACGTGTTGCTACCAGACGTACAATGAGCACATGACTCGTGAGATCTGCCCTGCGCTGAAGTCGTACAGTTTGAGCTGAAGCTGTGTTACGAGTGAAAAAGTCGCACAGTGTCCGCCCAGCTTATTATAATGTTCACTGTAATGCATCTTGATGTTCTTAACAAATAAATCAAATCAAAGATATTGGTCAATAATGCCAAATATGTAAATTTGTGTTTCAGTCATTTTTATACTGGCTTAAACATACTTCATTAAGTCTACTAAGCAGGGATGTAGAAGGTTTTTAACAGGGCCAGCCCAGTAATGATCTTGGACCAAAATAAAGGGGGCAGAAAGTCAAATAAAGGGGGCAAAAGAAGATGTTTTTCCAGACGCCAAGAAAAATTAAATGCCAAATCCACCCTGCAAAGTGTGTCACTGAGAGTTTAAAACAGAAATTATTATTGTGCAAATATTGGTGTACTCACCTTTAATACTAGTTATTACAATGCAGCAGTTGCTGGATTGGTGCAGTTCAAAGTGGAGTGCATCAAATAAAACAATGGCTGTGTCTCAATTCAGGGTCTGCATCCTTCGAAGGACCCAGCCCACCCGGCCGACGTGGGCTGCGTCCTCCGTCGGCCGGGTAGACCGGATGTTAACGGCTGTGAATTTGGACAGGCCTAGCCTTCATGAACTCCCTCGGCGAACGTTCCGTCGCCTAGCAACCGTGGAACCGCTGGGCAGAAGGAACCTTAAACGATGGAGCTCGACGTTTTATTTAGCTTTTTAACCCCCAGAAACCCAAATTTAGAAAACAACTGCAAAATATTTTTTAACCTTTCACATGTTGTTCTAGGAGGCCAGATAAACGGGCCTATTTACACATTTTAACAGCCAATAGTGTTGCAGAACTGAATAGGACCTATTAGCAATGTAAATGTGGTTTTAAAAAGAAAAAAATGGGGAAGGTTTATTTTTGTAGACTTAAATCTGATGTTGTAATACTACAACCGTGGGTCTCTGGGGGTTAATCATTTCCTTGACTGTTGGAGAGCTAATTCAGAGAAAATACTTTAGACTAGCTGAGCCTGAGCAAAGATGTGATAATAGTTTTTAATACTTTCTAAGGGTCTTACTTTGACCAAAACCGATTTATCACCTTTTAAGACTTTTCAAGACCCAGCGGATACCCTCTAGTAAACAATTCTCATTTGTAAACAAAAATAAAATTCAAGAGTTTAATGCAGAACTGATTTTATTTAGATATTTCTTTTACATGTACATGTTTAATCTTCATTAACCATTTTTTCTAGCAAAGTAAAAAGCTGTCAAAGTTCTTCCTTCTCTCCTGTGCTCTCTGCTGCTCTGCAGCCTCATGTCCTCCCAGATCAGCTCCAGAAGCTCATCGCTGGCACCTTCCCCTGGATGCCCATTTTCTCCAGAATAGTCTTAACAAACATGTAAGAAAAGAAACAGGAAGAGAAAAGAGGACAACGGGTTATTCCTTTCATGTTTTCGCAGAAAAAAATATACTCAAACGAGTTTTTAAAATATGAGATGTTATTGTACCTCCATGCCACAGCCGCCGAATACTTTGCTCCGGTGATCATGTGGTCCATCTCCGCCCTAAGCTTAATAAATTCCCTGGTTTTCTCTTTTGGTCCTAAAATACAAACTTCTATTAAAATCAGGGGGAAACGTAGTGGGAGAAGTACGACACCGAGCGCGGCCGAACATACGAGCCGAGACCGCAATACAAGCACTTTTACTGTAACATTTCTAACTAAAATAACGTTCATGTATCACAAAAAGTCCTTAAACTGACAGTTTTCAAGTTTATACTTACATTTATAAGCGCAATCGTCTCCGACAGCTCCCGCTTCACTGTCCGCCATTGTTTTTAAGTTTTTCTGCCGGCCGGCCCGCAAGGCATCTTGGGAAATGCTACCTATTGAAGGATACACCCGACCCATCCTTCATTCAGGCGAAAAGAAGGCCGCATTCGTCGACCGCATTTGAAGGAGTCTTCGAATTGGGACAGGCCGAGTCGCGGCGCTGTGACGTAACCGGCCGACGAATCCGGCCGAGGTAGGATGCAGACCCTGAATTGAGACACAGCCAGTATTAACATAAAGGTGAGACGTGTCATTACCCCCCCCCCCCCCCCCCACCCCCCACCACCACCACCACCACCACAGCTGGAAAAATTCCTAGGGGAAACACTGGTGCTATTTGCATTTGGAATCTGTTGCTGTCAACTGTCAAGATGAGATCCAAAGAGCTGTCACTATCAGTGAAGCAAGCCATCATTAGGCTGAAAAAAATAACAAAACAAAAGAAACCTATCAGAGTGACAGCAAAAACATTAGGCGTGGCCAAAACAAGTTTGGAACAATCTCAAAAAGAAGGAACGCACCGGTGAGCTCAGCAACACCAAAGCCCTTTTCAGATTGACATTCTGGAATATGTGTGGACAATTCAGTCCGGTTTTTAACCAGAATTGTGTTTTCAGACACACCACGTTTGTACCGGAACTTGTCCTTTCGGCTGCCTTCACACAGCAGGGAAAGGTTCCAGATGTCTGAGGGGGAGGGGGAGGAGGCGGGAAGGCATGCGCACACGAAGACGCATAAGAGACCTGGATGATGAAGCTCAATGGTTAAAGGAATCACAGATGTGGTGTGAAGCGCTCCGTCGCGCGTCTAGGAGACGGTACCGTAGGAGGCGAGCTGCCATGGTTCACCGCATGCTACAGGAGCGAGTTATCTAGGTGCGCACAGCGTCCCCCGGTCCCCTCCTCCTCCCCCTCCTCCCTGTCTGGAACTCGACCTCACCAGTCTGAAGCAGCCACCTTGTCCGTGACAAGTCCGGACCTGTTACTAGGGACGTCGTCCGGTTTAATTACGGAAAACGTTATCCGGATGTTTGTATTCAGACTAGGGCTGCAGCTATCGAATATTTTTGTAATCGAGTACTCTATCGAATCTTTTTTTCGATTAATCGAGTACTCTAATAAATGACCCTTTTGTGTTTGTAAACCATTATATCAAATAGCATGTTATAATTATGAAAGACCTCTTAAAATGAGCAAGCAATTGCCAGTTATTCTTCAAGTTTTATTCAAAATTAGTTTTCAAAACTTCAGCACTTCAACTTTACTTCACAGTAAACAAATACCTGTGCAAAAAATAAGTATACAACCTGAGCCGATTTTCCCCTCGTGCGAGAATCTGCTAGCCTGCAAGCCAGACAGAAACTAGTTGGATAACTGTTGAAGTAGTGCTGTGAGCGGCTGCGGCCCAAACAGAACCAGAACCGCTCACAGCGCATGCGCAAACAGCTCGCCGGCTGTTTCCCTATTAACACACGTTTGTTTTAATTTCTACACTTTTTGTCTCACACAATAACAAGGATTGTCGAGAAAGCATGTTTGCCGTGGTTTTGTCAAATTATACAGATCACACAACATTTATTTACTTTCTTTCGTTTTCCTCTCATAAATACCCGTGTCCTCCTGCAGCAATCCCGGGGGACAACGGACATCAATAACAACACAATAAAAAGTCCGACATATTGTGTAAAAATGCTATTTTTTAGCACATTTTAAGTCAGACGTGTTGCTACCAGACGTACGGTGTGAGCTGAAACTGAGTGCTACAAACGAAAAAGTCGCACAGTGTCCGCAGAATATATAGAAATACAGGCTAAAATGCATTATCTTGTAGAGGCTCCGAGTCCGCTTGCAGAAGTGACATTTACAGGTGCTGCAGCACGGAGGATGTGGTGTTGTGGTAGGCTAAATCCATTTTACAGTATTTACACTGGACTACGTTTTCCACCTTACGACATGAAAAATGGTCCCACACCTTTGACTTTTTCTGTCTTTTTCGCACTCCACCGGGGTTCAAGTTGTCCGCCATGGCTTAAGAGAAAGTTAAGTTACGTTCGCTACTCGCGTGTGCATTCAGCCCAGTGGGCATGTGCGTCACTTATTTCAGTCCGGGTGAAACATGACCCCGGGCGATTGCAAAGCCATGAATTAATTAAACATGAATTAAACGAATCCTCGAGGCAGAGAATTTGACTCGAGGATTTTTTGTACTCGAATTATTCGAGGTACTCGAGGAATCGTTTCAGCCTTAATTCAGACACAAAGGTCTTACGGACAGAGTACTGAACATTTCCGTTTTTCATGGCCTGTCTGAAGGGGGCTTTAAAGACCTGGAAGACCACGGAAAACAACTCTGGTGGATGACCGAAGAATCCTTTCCCTGGTGAAGAAAACACCCTTCACAACAGTTGGCCAGATCAAGAACACTCTCCAGGAGGTAGGTGTATCTGTGCCAAAGTCAACAATAAAGAGAAGACTCCACCGGTGTGAATACTAGGGCTGGGGGTAAACGATTATTTTTAAAACGATTATTCTGGCGATTATTTTATCGAATAGTCGACTATTCTAATGACTATTTAGAAAATTAATCTAATGATTATTTTTCTATTGCACAATTAACAAAAACCAGAAAATCTCAAATAAATTCCTCAAAAAAATTGATAAATTCTTACTGTAAGAGAATAAACACTACAGGCCTTCCATTTTGTATAACACTGCGTTTATTGTGTTGCGGTTGGTTATGTTCTGGTGACATGTAGAACTTGGGAGTGCAGGCTGCTGCCTGAGAGGTGGTAGAAGATGGAGTGTCTCCATGCTGCTTTGTTTTGGTCACTTATGTGCGTGAGGCGAGTGGTCTTACGGGTTAAACCAAACTCAGGTGATATTTTACACTAAACCGCAAACCCACAACACTCTAAATGTAATAAAAGGGAGATCTGCACCACAAAAAAGATGAACTCTAAACCAAAACGTAACAGCTTATCCCAACGCAAGAAGCTGTTAGCGAAGATGCTAACAGTAGCTTTACCAACATTCAGTTCAAGTTACCAAGTTTAAATAAACCAAAAACACCCAGCAGCAAACAGACCAGCACGGAGGAGAGACTGCTACCACCAAAACAGCTCTCCTCATGTCTGAAAGAAGCTCCTTAATGAAGGGAGAAGCGCTCCCGGTGATTTTCTACATCTGCGATAGACACGAAGCAGCGCATCTGACCCCGGAAGTTGTTGTCCGTTGCCGGGAGACGAAGGGGCAAAACAGGAAAATAATCTAGTAGTGGATGGACGTTTTTCCGGGTCTTCGGTATTTGGCGGAGATGTTAGTGAAGGCGGAGAAGAGGGCGAACTAGAGGAAAAACAGGCAGATTCCTCCTCTATTTACAAACTCCTGGGGATGCAACAAGTGGGCGCGGTGCGTCGACTTCCGGATCTGACGTCGACAAATTTTTAGAATCGAGCCGTCGACTTCGTCGAGGCTTCGCTACAGCCCTAGTGAATACAGAAGGTTCACTACAAGATGTAAACCATTGGTGAGCCCCCAAAACAGGAAGGCCAGATTAGAGTTTGCCAAACAACATCTAAAAAAGCCTTCACAGTTCTGGAACATCATCCTACGGACAGATGAGACCAAGATCAACTTGTACCAGAGTGATGGGAAGAGAAGAGTATGGAGACGGAAAGGAACTGCTCATGATCCTAAGCATACCACCTCATCAGTGAAGCATGGTGCTGGAAGTGTCATGGCGTGGGCATGTATGACTGCCAGTGGAACTGGTTCTCTTGTATTTATTGATGATGTGACTGCTGACAAAAGCAGCACGATGAATTCTGAAGAGTTTCGGGCAATATTATCTGCTCATATTCAGCCAAATGCCTCAAAACTCATTGGACGGCGCTTCACAGTGCAGATGGACAATGACCCAAAGCATACTGCAAAAGCAACCAAAGAGTTTTTGAAGGGAAAGAAGTGGACTGTTTTGCAATGGCCAAGTCAATCACGTGACCTGAATCAGATGGAGCGTGCATTTCACTTGCCGAAGACAAAACTGAAGGGAAAATGCCCCAAGAATAAGCAGCAACTGAAGACTGTTGCAGTAGAGGCCTGGCAGAGCATCACCAGGGATGAAACCCAATATCTGGTGATGTCTATGTGTTCCAGACTTCAGGCTGTAATTGACTGCAAAGGATTTGCAACCAAGTATTGAAATGTATAAGTTTGATTTATGGTTCTTATTCTGTCCCATTACTTTTGGTCCCTTAACAAGTGGGAGGCACATATGCTAACTGTAGCAATTCCTACACCGTTCACCTGATTTGGATGTAAATACCTCAAATGAAAGCTGACAGCCTGCAGTTAAAGCACATCTTGTTCGTTTCATTTGATATCCATAATGGTGGTGTATAGAGCCAAAAATATTGGCATTGTGTCGATGTCCCAATATTTATGGACCTGACTGTATAGTCCGGAAAATACGGTAAGAATTTATACTGAATTATATTCTACACAACTTAAAATTATTTGCTCACAATTCATATGGTATTTTTACAGGTATAAACAGAAGACAATAATTTATTGTGACATACATCGTTACAGCATGTGCTTTAAGAGGGGGTAGCCTCCCTTCGCCTTATTCTTCTGGCACCCGGAGAGCATAGACGCTTCTCTTTTCTCCTCCCTTATCTTTTTCCCAAGGATCTTGTCTTCTCCGTCTACAGAGCGCTTCTCTGCATTCCTCTTGAAAACTCAATTTTTATTACTTCGTGGATTTGGTTAACTGGTCCTTCAATGCCATTGATGAGATTTTATCAACAATGAGAACGGAGTGGGGGTTCTCCAGCTTGACCGGATGGAACATATCTGGTGGGGTAAATTTTGGATTCCTGGAAAGAGTGAAAAATTACATGCCTTCCCAGCTGTCCAGGAAGGACATCAAAGACATGTGGAATATTGGCCTGATATTTACTGTTTCTAATTGGAGTATGAAGGTTTCTGGTATTTTGGAAAATTGTGAAGTCATGGGGAAATTTGAGTGCCACCCGTACCCAGGGAAACTCTCAGCCGTGTGGAGACTGCTCTAGGGTTGTCACGATAACCGGTATAGCGGTAAACCCCGGTAAAAAAGGTGACAATAAAAATAACCGTCCAGTTTTTAAAAAACTAAATTATCTCGGTGGGTTTACCGTGGCCGCGGTTTCAGCGCGGTGACCCTTACCAGCCACCGTCGCTTCAGCTGAAGTTCCCGCGGCGCGC